ATGATTGGTTTAAAGATATGCTTCCCAAGATAATAACAACAACACTTATATATCACTTTACAGTACTTTACAGCCCTCTCTAAGCAGTTTACAGAGTCAGGATATTTCCCCCAAACATCTGGGTCCTCATTTTACCACCTCAGAAGGATGGAAGGTTGAGTCAACCTTGAGCCAGTGTGATTTGAACTGCAGCTAGCAGTCAGCTGATATAGCCTGCAGTTCTGCACTCTAACCACTGCACCACCCCAGCTTTGATGATCTGAGAACAGAACCTGTAGCCCAAAGGAACTCTTGTATAAATTTATATCCAAGTCACAAAGGGTGGAGAAACTACAGTACCGAGAATGGTCTTATTGTTCCATCATCATTTCATTGCATAGGCAAGAAGTGCTCCTATTTGATTCAAGCAAAATCTCCTGCTTAAGCAGAGGATTGCACTAGATGACCTCCAAGGTCCCTTCCAACCCTACGATTCTATGTTTTATTTGTTTCCTTCATTCTGTAATTCCTGGATAGTTAATTCATATATCTAGCTCATTTTTTTATTGTTACACAGAGTATGGGGGTAGGATATGTGGAGTATTTCATTTTATCCTCTTAAGAAGAACCTTCTAAGCCATGTTGGGCTGAAAACTAAGGAGGATTTGAATGTAGATCTTGAAGGACTATGTTCCATGCACTTTCCTTACTTGTTCCAACTTGTGAGCATAAAGGAAAACATAGAGGAGTAGCAGAAGATTGGTCAGGGATCATCTTAGCATAGTAGTGATGCCAATTTCATGGAGATTAAAAGTGATCAGCAAAAGACAAAATGCAGGGAACCCAAAATGGGTTCCAGTTTTTCCAGTCGCTAGAATTGCTCAAGTCCATATTTCTCCTGTGTCTTCTAATGTTATGTGTTGTGTAATTCTTGCTGGGCTTATCCCCTTGTTGAAGAGATGTTTTATAAGAAGGGATAGAAATTGGTAACATTGTAAAGACGTAGCAAAGTAAAGCTTTGCAGACTCATTCAGCTATGAAACATTTGAAATGCTTTCCTCAGTTGAAAGGTTTTATACAAATAGGTTTTGAGATACCATAAAATCTGATTTGGCATTTGCTTCATTGTTGCAGGCAAGGTATTAACTTAATAAGCCAATAAAACAAAATAAGGGGGTTAGATGCAATTAGATGAGATGCAAGAAATAATTGGTTAATTTCTCTAACTCAGCTGTCCTCCTACCTATCAAAACACATCTGCCAATAACGCTACTGCAGTACAGGTAGTCATTACTCACAACCATTCATTTAGTGAGCATCTGAAGTTACAATAGCACTGAAAAAAGTGATTTAAAAAGTGACATTTTCACATTTCCGACCATTACGGCATCCCCATGGTCACATGATCAAAATTCAGGCGCTTGACAACTGGCACATATTTATAGTTGCAGTGTCCCAGGATTGTGTGATCGCTTTTTGTGATAAGTGGGAGAACCCAGATTTATTTAACAACCACACGATTCACTTAACAACTATAAGTGATTCAGTTAACTGCTACAAAAAAAGGTTGTAAAATTGGGGACAACTCACAATTGTCTTACTTAGCAACAGAAATTTTGGGCTTAACTGTGGTCATAGGTTGAGGACTACCTATACATATGTGGTGGATCTGCTTGGATTAATCTACCATAGCTACACTCATTTGTTTGACTCCTCTTACTTCCCATTTTCTTCTTATCCAAGTTGAGCAAAGTTTTTGTTTGTTGTAAAAAAAAAAAAAGACAGATTAGAGTCCTGAAGGGAGCTGAGTCACAAGCAGTACTATACTTAGAATATTTTGCTCGTCTTTATCTCTGTCTGCAGACTTTGATTATTTGCTTGCTGATATTTCATCACTAGACTAGGTAACATAATCTTCAAGGACTCCTCAGAACTACATATATTCTCTTCCACTGAAATTTTATATAATTTGCAATTCCTATAAGACGTTGATTTCATGAAGAAAAATAAACTATTTTAAAAGCAGTACAGCTATGGATTGATTAAACTGCCTTACTCAAAGGAGACAAGTTATTAGGAAAAGGCACCCTCCACCCAAAAACAAAAATTAGTCAAGAAATACTGGCCCTGGTTAGTTGAATGTAGAAAAAGGTATTTTTAAACCCAAGCTGCCATCCTGAAATGTTTTTTTGAAAAAGGATGTTTAAAGGAAAACTGAAATATGGAGCACCTGAATTGGAAATGTTAGCCTGGATTGAGTCACACATTAGACCAATGTTTTGGTAAACTCAGCCAACAATTTAAATGTAATGTTTTAAGTAACAGTGGTATAGCTAAACATTTAGCACGTCTCCTGTTTATTCAGGGAATTTCTGGGAACACATCTGCTATTTTTTCTATCTAACTTTGCATCAATCCCATCAGAAAAATCAGAAAAATCAAATTGAACAGATACTAAATGATCAGACAAGCAGCTCTGAGGTTGAGATAAAATTTGCACCCAAATATTTTTACTCCCAATGTGACATTCTATCAACTAAACATTGCTGTTCCTTCGTTTTGTTCTTGTAGGATTTACACGTCATCCAGCAAAATTAGAGCATTACACAGTGTTGTTTTCACTTCCTTCAAACCTTAATTTCCACCTCCTGAGTATAGTGTTTGATGCATATAATTTAAACACTGCTCATCTCATTATTACCAGGAGTCTAATCAATCAAACACTGTCAGATGCATGGCTGACTCAAAAAATATGTTTAAGCATATCCCCACCCTTTCTTTCCACCAGTTTGCAGATAATAAGTGAACAAACAAAAATGCTAAAATCCTGATTTATTTTGTTTTCCTGCATGGATATTATCTCAATTTTGAATGGGTAGTATCTTCATGATACACCTTGTTCACGCAAAAAAAAATGTCCTGAGAATGAGAAAACAGTCTTTGAGAACAGAAGGACAAGGAAGAGAAAATGCAATTATCTTCTTGATATAATGAATAATTGAGTGGGTAGGACACCGTTCCTAGCCTAAGACCCTATAGATCGGGGGTGTTAAATTCATGGCATCACATTGTCATCACATGATGTATCATGACTTTTTTTCCCCTTTGCTAAACCAGGGTGAGCGTTGCCAGCAAGTGACACACACTGGATCTGTGGCCGTGAGTTTGACATCCCTGCTATAGATATACAGATAATCCTCAACTTACAATCATTTGTTATCGAAAGTTATAACAGCACAGAAAAAAGTGACTTATGATCAGTCCTCGCATTTATGACCATCATGCATTCCCAGAGTTACGTTATCAAATGTGACTTGGCAGAATTGAGTGCTTGGAATCCAATCTTTATTTATGACAGTTGCAGCACCCTGGAGTCATGTGATCACCATTTGCAACTTTGCCAGTCAATTTCCAACATGAAAGTCAATGGGGAAAGATGGCCTTGCTTAACCACGTGCTTCACTTAACCAATGGTTCACTTAACATCCGTGGCAAAAAGGTTGTACTACAGCAATTGAGAGATGGGTCTTTATCCTACCTAATTTTGCTGGCTGGGTATAGCATTTTGGATCAGCAGGGTAGGGCAGAGCAGGCGATATCCTTATTATATTTTAATTACTCTGATATCCTGCCTTATGTAACACACTGACCCAGAAAGTAACCAGAAAGGCTGGGTTTGCACAGAACTGCTTATTAAATGAAAAGGTAACTGGGTTGTGCTTTAGAGACTCACATAACCCAGTCACTGATTGCAGTTAAAAAGCAGAAACTCTCCACATGTTCCCATTTCCACAATTAATCTACAGTTGGGATGAGGCTACCAAAAATGATCTGGAAAACTGGCAATCACTGGATGGAAAGATGGGCAGTAAACTCTCATCTCTTTGTTACCATTTGGTGACCATCTTTGATTTGGAAGTGTTTGCCTTTGTCACCAGAAAGTCAACATGGATGTGATTATACTGATTGCTAGTAGCTGAGTCTGACTGCAAGAAGATGAAATATTTTTGTGGGGGAGGGGAGAGGGGTTGTGGGCTTATTCTAGCCTCTCTTCTTCTGGCCTTTAACCCTCTTTATTCGTCTGCTTTTAAAGAAGGATAAGCAGTGAGTGTCACTGCCCCGCAGTTCTTTCCCGGCATTGAGTGGGATGCAGGAAATAAGATGCTACTCAGGCGTTGCAACATCCTGCTTCCATTTGCATAAGAGATTAATCTTGATGAGTTTTTAACTTTGCTCAGATGTTTGTGTTTGTTTTCTTTGTGGCAGCCTATTGTGCGCAAACCCATTCCGTGTGATTAGCTCGCGGTCTCTTGTGCAACCTTCTCAAGTGATTGGGTTAACTCAGGTTCCTTAGTTCCATTACTGTAATCAAGGTCTTCAGCCAGTGGCAACGCAGTACAACCTCAGGGTCTGGATGACCCACTGACCTGCTAACCCCCAAAGCAGCCACCCTTATATTAACTCAGCCTAGGGCAACACAAACACAGACACACTAGTTCCCTTTACAGCCCAGCGTGTGGTGGCAAATCTAGGGGAGAGAGGGAGAAGAGAATGAGAGAGATAGAGAGAATGAGAGTGAGTGAGGAAGGGAGGGAAGGAGAAAGAGAATGAGAGAGAGAATGAGGGGAGAGAGAATGAAAGGAGAGAGAGAGGGAGAGAGAATGAGAGACAGAGAATGAGAGGGAGGGAGGGAGGAAGGGGAAAGAGAGAATGAGAGAGAATGAAAGTGAGGGAGGGGAGAGAGAATGAGAGAGAGAATGAAAGAGAGCGAATGAGATTGAGGGAGGGAGGGAGGGGAGAGAGAATGAGAGAGAGAGAGAGCACCGCCTTCTTGGAAGAAGCGGGGGGGCAAGGGGGATATCTTGCATTAAGTATCGACCCCCCCCCCAATTCCGCGAGGTCAGCGCAGCAGGCAGCAGCCCTTCCCAGCGCGCCTTGTTTCTCCGGAGCACTCCGCCCCCCCCCCCGCCTCTGCCCGCCTCCTCCTCCTCCCGGAGTCTCTGGGCTGCTGACTCAGCCGGAGGGAAAACTCAAAGGGCGCTCCGCCGCCCGGCTTGCCCGCCTTCCTCGGGGATGTCGCCCGGGGCCCCGCTCTCTTCGCAGCTCTTGTTCGAAGCCTTCTGGCTCTGAAAGGGACGCGCGGAGCAGCCGCGGGAGACTTTTCCCGCCAGCGCCGGGAACAAAGCGCAGCGAAGTTGCCCTCTGGTTTCCTCCTCCTCCTCCTCTGGGAACCCCAGTCACCATGACAGCCATAGCAGCTCAGGTAACTTGGGGGCAGCGGGGGGTGGGTGGTAGGGCCGCGTCCTGGGGGCGGAAGGGGCTCCCTTTGGGTCAGGGGAGCGAGATGGGGGGCAGGAGGAGGGGGGGTCCCATCCCTGCAAGCCTTGTGTCGGCCGGTCCTTTGTTCTCCCTGGTTCGCCCTTCGCCCTACCGGCTGAGCGGTTCCTCTGGGTCTGGGCGACCGGCGGACTCACCTGTTACTCTTCGTAAATTTTCTCTCGAAACGCGGGAGTGGGTGGGGTGGTGGAGCAAGAGAGCCCTCGCATCCCAAAATCGTAAACCCCGACCCTTGCATTTTCTCTTGTAGACAGAGGGCTTCCCTAAGCGAGAGCTCAAATAGTGGAAAGTTGAAAGTCTTTGATCGTGCCATCTGTCCTCTCCCTGCTCCCCCAGAAGTTGACTTTTAAATCTGCCTTCCGAGGTTTATTATCGCCCAGGGATGACACATGTCTCGCTTCTTTTCTTTTCTTCGGCGAGGAAGTAGCACAGCTTGGAGAAGGGTTTGAGGAGAGGGAGTGGGGAGTCGGACATGGTTGAAGATGGGGCTTCAAGTAAAGAGTGCCGGTGCTCATTTGCTCTAGTTCAAACTTTCTGGCAATCCATCTACTGGGTGACTCTCCCAAAAGTGAACGGAATGAGATTTAAAAAAAAAAAACCAGGGTGGGTGTGATGGGAGAAGCTGGCAAAAAGAAAGACTAAATTTCCCAAAAGAAAAGCAAATCTGCTTGGAAGACAATCTTTCTGGAAAAAAGACACATACACAGAGAAGGGGGGGAGGGAGAGAGGAGGCAGCTGAGAACACTGTTGTTAAAGGGTCCATTCTTAACCTCCTCTCCTAGTCACATGACCCAGGGCAGAGCAATTAAGGCAAACAAAAGTAGGCATCCTCTCTTTCAAGATGGAAGGTCATGGGGTTTAGAGCCGGCCCTATGCTTCCCAGGGCTTACATACACTAAAACAAGACAGATGCAGCATGATGGGAGAAGGTGGGGGGATGATAGAAACACAGATACCATCACCCTATATGCATCAGCCTGATAATATTCTGAGGGGGATTCAAATAAACATATGTGAATCCAACTAGTGGGGTGAGGAGAAGCATGCTGCATGCCAAAGTGATATGTTTCCAACCCAACAGAAGGTTGGAAAGAAATTCTGTAGAGAGATTCAGGACCCTGTCTGTCTGCTCATGCAGAGGATATCTGTCCAAACATTGAACAGAGTTAGACTAAATCTAAGAGGGGAAGCCAACAAAAAAAAGGTGGAGTTTGAAAATGGGCCAGAGTTGGCCAAAGACTGCAAAGAAAGGAGGGGAAAATCTGCCCTAAGGATGATCATTTGGCTATGTTCACAGATTGCAATTAACTATTGCATTCTAAGCCGTTTTTCCTTTTCTCTCTCCTGGTCATGTGAGCAGAGTAACTGCATACACGCACACTCATGCAGACATTACACAAATACAGACAAGAGGTAAGAAAGAAATCACACTAACCCAGAGAGATGGAACATGCTACTTCACTATACAGAAGCAAGCTTCCTCTAGCTATTGTTAGTAAGGAGCTTGGAATAAATTAAATAATTTAAGCTCCATATTCTTTCTCTCTCTCTTTTTTAGGGGTGAGGCGAGGGTATCCAAGAGCCAAAGTAACTCAACTTGCTCAACTTCCTTTTTTCTTAGAATGCAATGAGTTGTTTACAAAGATCTGCAAATCTGCCTCTTGCTGACATGGTGTTCCTGATGTTTCAGCAAAGCCAGCTCATACACAGCAAGAGTGACTTTCAAAACAAAGTGCACCACAGGAATGACAATTAGGAGAAACAGAAATCTGGGGGAATATTTCTTGGTCAATACTTTTAAGAGCTAAATTTCTCAGAAATGGGACAGTGCTGATTAACTTGAGAGACATTTCTCTAGTCATCTTTAGTATTTATGTATATTAGAGTTTTCAATACCTCTAAATCCAAGGATGATAAATCATTAGTCCTCCAAATATTGCTGACCTTCAGTTCCCAGCATTCCACATAATTGACCATGACGTTTGGGAATTGGGGAAGTTTTAATTGAGCAATATCTGGAGAGCTACTGTGTGCCCATTTTGCTATAGTGCACTGCTTGTTTATTTTCTCATATTTTTCCCAAAGTGAAATGCGCAATCTCTTATCTCCTTTTCATATTTTTTGACATACAGTACATACATCTTTCTTTCTTTCCTTCCTTCCTTCCTTCCTTCCTTCCTTCCTTCCTTCCTTCCTTCCTTCCTTCCTTCCAAAGTTTTGCCATTGCTTGCCAATTACTGCTGCTTGTTTCTCTTGGTCTTCTGTTGTCTTCTTTTCATCCACCCGTGTCTGTCAGATATTTAGCTCACTGAAGGTTTAGAATTTCTTTGCTATCTTTCCTTCAGCCCGTGTTCACATTGCATGTTTAACTGGGTCAAAGAGGGTATTAGGGGGAGTCATGTGAACATCATAACATAGTGAAATAAACCTCAGTCAATGTTAATGCCAAAAAGAGAGAATTAATTTTAGCTGGAAATAAGTCCCAAGTTGTTCAAAGCCAAACTCCCACTTAGCTATCTGAAGAAGGTAAGAAAAAAAAAGAAGAGGATAAGATAGATAAACTCCACACAATATTTTTAGGTGATCATTCACTAAAAAAAACCCCAAATCCCACAATAGCTGGATGACTTCAAAAATGTCCACCACAAGAGCATCTCATGATCGAGTGGTGCTAGGAGTGAGTGAACTGATTGCCAGCTGAGCAGCTGTCACAGAAGAGTCATCCATGTAGATCTTGCAAAAGTTCCTTATCTTTGAAATGCCTTCTGTTGCTTCATCTCTCCAAGCTGATAATTCCAGCCAGTGGTGGGTTGCAGGCGGTACGCCCCGGTACGGGGCGCTGGAGGAATACCGTTGCGGTACGGAGCTCCGGAGGGCCCGTCCACCTGCCCGAGCTCCTTACCTGTCTTTTAAGGCTTCTGTGCATGCGCATGGTGCATACAGCACCTGTGTGATGCTCTGCGGAGCAGCTGGAGCATTGTGGAGGCTCACGGAGGCGCTAAGACGCATGCATGCCCTGCGCATGTGTGTACACGCACTGAGTGTGTCCATGTGGCTGCCGCCATGCCTGTTTCAACCAGTTGGAATGGGATCCAGAACCCACCACTGATTCCAGCATATCTCTTCATGTTGCCCTTACTTTACAACTCCATCGATTCTTCTTGAAATGAATTCTCTCTTGGTATCCCTGATGCCAGAAACTTTTTTTTTAAAAAAAATACTTTCCTCAAACTCCCCTCCCCTGAAACGCCTTGGGATCCCTCTCTCTACCTCAATACTGTTTATGTTATGAGCAAAACCGCATGGCCTGGGGTGGGGTGGGGTGTACCTGTTCTTTCTTGCTATTCTGTTTTCTTTTTGGGGAGGAGGGTTGTTCCCTGGACTGTCTTAGACTGCAGTCCTTTGGAATTAAGGTGTTTCCATCCTGTTGCTTGTAAAATATAAAGAATACAGGTAGTCCTCGACTTATGACCATTCGCTTAGTGACCATTCATAGTTACAATGGCACTGAAAAAAGTGACTTATGGCCGTTTTCACACTTATGACTGTTGTAGCACCCACCCCCCCATGGTCACCTGATTTACATTTGGATGCTTGACAATGGACTCACATTTATGACGGTCCCGGAATCATGTGATCCCCTTTTGTGACATTCTGACCAACAAGGTCAATGGGGAAACCTGATTCACTTAACAACAATCTTGCTAATTTGACAACCGCAGTGATTCACTTAACAACTGTGGCAAGAAAAGTCATCAAATGGGACAAACTCTCTTAACAAATGTTTCACTTAGCAAC